TCCAGAGATCATTGTCTGTTACTAAGACATCAATATTCTCTTCACACATAAAACCACTGCTTTTTTTTTTTTTTTAAAGGTTCTGCAGAAAAAAACATTTTTTTGTCAGAATATTGCTATTCTACATGTTTTTATTTTTGTTTTGTTTTGTCTACAATCATTTTTTTGCATTAAATATCTTTTCAATGTAGTTGGCTATCAAAACTATTTAAATTTCTCGTAATCTAGACACAAGGCCAGCAAATGATCCATAAAATATATTGATTTCCTTTTTTTTTTTATTAAGATCTGGTAAGATAAATGCAGAGATTATATGTCCTTCAAAGCAGATTAAAATGTGTCTCTTGGACTAAATTCACCCCCTCCTAAAGTGGTGACAGCACCAAAACAAAGGCAGCGTAAACTGTCTCTAGCTCTCCCATGGCTTCATAGTGCACTCACAGATCCATGCATATAATCAGGAACATCACATTTCTCAGACTGTTGCACCGGACAATGTTGAGAGCTGTAAAGCTGTTTCTACCTCTAGAGCAGACAGAGACAGACAGGGAGCGGCAGTTAAAGGACCATTATAGGCACCCAGACCACTTCAGCTTAGTGAATTTGTCTGGGTGCCAGGTCCAGCTAGGATTAACCCTTTTTTCTGTAAACATGGCAGTTTCAGAGAAACTGATATGTTTGCCTATGCGTTAATCCAGCCTCTAGTGGCTGTCTCATTGACAGCCGCTAGAGGGCCCCCGCGCTTCTCACTGTGATTTTCACAGTGAGAAGACACCAGCGTCCATAGGAAAGCATTCATAATTTGACTTGCTGAATGCGCGCGCTGCTCTTGCTGCGCATGCGCATTCAGCCGAGGAGGAGGAGAGGAGGCGGAGAGGAGGAGGAAATCTCCCCGCCCAGCGCTGGAGAAAGAGGTAAGTTTAACCCCTTCCACCCCCTAGAGCCCGGCAGGAGGGCGACCCTGAGGGTGAGGGCACCCTCAGGGCACTATAGTGCCAGGAAAACGAGTATATTTTCCTGGCACTATAGTGGTCCTTTAAATGATAAAAAAAAGGAGCCTTTATTATTACTGGCATTTATATAGCACCAACTTCTTCCCCATCGCTTCAAAATAGTATAAAGGATAAATTTAACATCAAAGGAGACAAACAACTAGTTTTAACAGTAAAAGCAGGTTGACAAGGACCTGCTCGAACAAACTTGCAATCAAGAAAAGGCGAAGTATAGTTAAAAAGAAAAGGGTAAAAGGAAAGCAAGGAAAACGAGGAATGATGGCAATACAAAAGCACAGAGTATCGCTGATGAAAGCACAGACAAGAGGAGCAAGGGGTAGTGGGGTGGGAGAACAGGAAGAGCATGAGAGAAAGGTTAACAAAAACAGGGAGAACATTTAGCAGAGGGGAAGAAAAATAGATAGAACATGGAGTAGAATGTAAAACAGGATAGACTAGGTGCAGTAGGAAATCTTGGTATGGATTTCAGAAACAGGGTTTTGGTGTGTGGCATAGGGAGACAGAATTTAGCTTTTGGAACTTGAGAGCACAGTTATTTGCAATGTTCATAGCTCAATTCTACATGTTTGGCTGGATCTATTTTGTCATTAAGCTGTGAGCAGTGATGGATTGCTTGCATCTGTCTGACCAAGTTAGCTATAGTTCATAAATTTCAAGGAACACTATTGTGTCAGGAACACAAACACGTATTCCTGACACTCTAGTGGTAAAATCATTATTTAGGTTTCTGACCCCCCATTCCTCTCTTTGAATAGATATTTTACTCACCTTTTTTCCAGCGCTGTACTGGTCTTGCCACAGCTGGCCCCACCTCAAATTTGATAATCTCAGCCAATCCAGTGCTTTCCCATAGGAACGCTGTGCTGCTCCAATCAGCATCTCCTCATCCTGATTCATTGAATTAATGCATCTCTATGGGGAGCGTTCAGCATCTTCATGCAGAGCACACTGAGCATGCAGAGCACATTGTGCAGCCACTGACCCTGGAAGCACCTCTAGTGGCCATCTGAGTGACTAGAGGTGTTACTAGGCAGTAATGTAAACATTGCCTTTTCTCTGAAAAGGCAGTGTTTATAGTAAAAAGACTGCAGGAACATTAAAGGATCACTATAGTGCCAGGAAAACATACTCGTTTTCCTGGCACTATAGTGCCCTGAGGGTGCCCCCACCCTCAGGGTCCCCCTCCCGGGTCCCCCTCCCGCTCTCCTCCTCCTCTCCGCCTCCGATCCTCCCTTTCGGCTGAATGCGCACGCGCGGCAAGAGCTGCGCGCGCATTCAGCCGGTCTCATAGGAAAGCATTTACAATGCTTTCCTATGGACGCTGGCGTGCTCTCACTGTGATTTTCACAGTGAGAATCACGCAAGCGCCTCTAGTGGCTGTCAATGAGACAGCCACTAGAGGATTTGGAGGCTGGATTAACCCATTTATAAACATAGCAGTTTCTCTGAAACTGCTATGTTTATAAAAAAAAAGGTTAATCCTAGAGGGACCTGGCACCCAGACCACTTCATTAAGCTGAAGTGGTCTGGGTGCCTAGAGTGGTCCTTTAAGCTGTAGTCGTTCTGGTGACTATAGTGTCCTGTTAAGCCAAAGGCTTTGCTATATTAGCTTAAACATTTACAATTTTTTACAATTTCACTGTTGTTTGTAATTTGGTATGATAAATGCATTAAAAGTACTGACATTTTTGCATGCTAAACTTAGAGTAAAGGGGTAAAACTGATTTTTGTTTTATTCTGTAAATGTTTGACCTGTCACACTGAGTAGGACAACCATTTATGTGGTATTTTGCATCATTTACTTTCTCTTGCCTTATGTAAACACAATTAAACAGAGATTTTACATTTTAGCCGAGGAGGAAGAAGGAAATAGAATATGCAAACACATGTTATTGAAATTCTGGAAATTCTACACTATTATTTATATTTCAAATTATAAAATAATATATTTAAGTCTAGAAAAAGTATGGGGTAAACACAATGATTTTTTTGCTTTTTATAGCTAGAAAAAAAATACAATTATATTTATGTAAAATTAATTAATAAACACTTTCGTTGTTATGCTATAAAACTGAATAGTAGCAAATTAAATTCTAAATAACACAATTGAGGAGCCCGGTTGTGGCAAAAAGCACTTCGGGACTTAACTCTATGCGTAATGATAGTTCTTGATGTTACCGCATTTTCCACACGCAGAGGATATTTTAACTTTTTATTTTTAGGTTTATGTTGGTGTTTTTTGATTTTTTTTGTCTTTTGTCTTTTGCATTTATTATTTTGGATTTCCTTACTAAGCAGAAGTAAGTTAGAGCCTTTGGGTATGGCAGTATAAAGGTTTGGGGTTTAGTTGTGATGCCCTCAAAAGCACAGATTAGCAGTTTCTCTCCCCATTCTACCTGTTACTCTTTTTTGTTATCTATTCAGACATATACATTGTATCCTGCAATCTCAGACCCAGGCTGGTCAAATTGATAGACTTTTAAAAATTGTTGATTGATTACCATATAGTGAGAGTACGAGAGCTATATGTATGGGAGACAGATATTATGATTTGCTTTTTACGCCAAAGCCATTATAAGTAAACTAATCCCATTTTGTGGAAACTTTTCTAAGACTTTTCTAAAGATAATTGACATTTAGATTTAGATTCAAATATTTTGGTGCAAACTGTGCTATTTTACGTAATTAATAAAAGTTTGTGTCTGCATGGGCCAGTGTGTGTGTTAGTCTGCATTAATCAGTGTGTGTGTCAGTCAGTCTGCATCAATCAATGCAGGGCCGGACTGGGGAAAAAATTCGGCCGGGGCATTTTTAATTACAGCGGCCCACTGAAAAGGGGGCAGGGCCAGATAGGTTGTGTTTTGTCATCCCCAATGACAAGCACGCCCCATCTCAAAGTGAGCATGTTGGTTCAATGCTCTTCCAGGGCATGAGAAAAGGGCCCTGTATTTGATCTGCACAGCGCAAGCAAATTTAATAACATGCTTGCATTGTGTTTGCTTGAAACTTGTCTCAGGGGTTTCCGTAATTGGAATACTCAATGTATCCCATTTATGGAGACACTATGTGTTTGCTTAAAGGATATCTAGTGTGTTCATAGGGGATCCTGAGTGTGTATGTCAGAAATGTAGTCTGTGTGTAAGTGGTGCAGCATCTGTGTGTAGGGGATCTAGTGTGTGTTTGAAGGACTCAGGAGTGCGTATAGGAGATCTAGTGAGTGTGTGACTGGCGCAGTGTGTTTGGGGGGTGCTGTGTGTGTGAGGGGTGTATTGTGCATTTGTGAGGAGTATAGTGTGTGTGGGAAGGTGCTGTTTGTGTGGGGGGGTGCAGTATGTGTGTGTGAGGGTGCTGTGTGTGAAGGTGCTGTGTGTGAGGGCACTGTGCGAGGGTTCTGTGTATTTGAGGGTGATGTGTGTGTGTGTGAGGGTGATGTGTGTTGGGGTGCTGTGTGTGTTGGGGTGCTGTGTGTGTTGGGGTGCTGTGTGTGCTGTGTATGTGTTGGGGTGGTGTGTGTGTGTGCTAGGTTGCTGTATGTGTTAGGGTGCTGTGTGTGTTTTAGGGTGCTGTGTCAATGTTAGGGTGCTGGTGTTAGGGTGCTGTGTGTGTGTGTTAGGGTGCTGTGTCAATGTTAGGGTGCTGGTGTTAGGGTGCTGTGTGTGTTAGGGTGCTGTGTGTGTTAGGGTGCTGTGTGAGTGTTAGGTGCTGTGTGTGTGTTAGGGTGATGTGTCAATGTTAGGGTGCTGGTGTTAGGGTGTTGTGTGTGTGTTGGGGTGCTGTGTGTGTTAGGGTTCTGTGTCAATGTTAGGGTGCTGGTGTTAGGGTGCTGTGTGTGTGTTAGGGTGCTGGTGTTAAGGTGCTGTGTGTGTGTTAGGGTGCTGTGTCAATGTTATTAGGTGCGCGCTGGTGTTAGGGTGCTGTGTGTGTGTTAGGGTTCTGTGTCAATGTTAGGTGCTATGTTAGGGTGCTGTGTCAATGTTAGGGTGCTGGTGTTAGGGTGCAGTGTGTGTGTTAGGGTGCTATGTCAATGTTAGGGTGCTGGTGTTAGGGTGCTGTGTGTGTGTGTGTTGGGGTGCTGTGTGTGTGTTAGGGTGTTGTGTGAGTGCTACGGTGCTGTGTGTGTGTTAGGGTGATGTGTCAATGTTAGGGTGCTGGTGTTAGGGTGCTGTGTGTGTGTTGGGGTGCTGTGTGTGTTAGGGTTCTGTGTCAATGTTAGGGTGCTGGTGTTAGGGTGCTGTGTGTGTGTTAGGGTGCTGTGTCAATGTTAGGGTGCTGGTGTTAGGGTGCTGTGTGTGTGTTAGGGTTCTGTGTCAATGTTAGGGTGCTGGTGTTAGGGTGCTGTGTCAATGTTAGGGTGCTGGTGTTAGGGTGCTGGTGTTAGGGTGCTGGTGTTAGGGTGCTGTGTCAATGTTAGGGTGCTGGTGTTAGGGTGCTGTGTGTGTGTGTTAGGGTGCTGTGTATGTGTTAGGGTGCTGGGTGAGGGTGATGTGTGTGTTTGCAAGGATTTTGTATTGGGGGGAGGCAGGTAAATGGCACTATTAATGTTTTACTAAAAAATAATAAATGCATAATAATAAATAATAATAATAAATAATAAAAATAAATACATAATAATAATAAATAATAAAAATAAATAATAATAAATAATAATAATAAATAATAAAAATAAATACATAATAATAAATAATAATAATAAATAATAAAAATAAATACATTATATCCCCCCCCCTCCCACCTCCCCCTCTATTCTTACCTGTAGCCTGGAAGGGGGGGGGGGTCGTGCTCCTGCCAGCCATCCCTGGTGGTCCTCGTGGTAAGTGAACTCTAGCCCTTTGGGGCTAGAGTTCACTCTCGCGAGACCCGGCCAGTTGCCATAGCAACGGTCCGGATCTCGCGAGAGAATCCCGGCGGAGCTGGAAGTTAGAGCTCCGCCGGGTCCTCTCTCCTGGCGGCTGTCTCCCTCCCTCTCCCCCCGCCGGCGGCCGCGTTTGAGCATGTGGGCCGGTGAGGGAGATCTTTGATCTCCCCACCGGCCCTCCATGGAAGACAGCGGGGCCGGCGCTCGGATAGCGCCGGCCCTGCATAGACCGGCAGGGGAGATCCTGTGACCTCCCCTGCTGGCCTCGGCCCCACGGCCACCGCGGCCCACCGGGCATTTGCCCGGTATGCCCGATGGCCAGTCCGGGCCTGGGTGGGAGGGTCTGGGAGGGAGCGTC